TCGACGTCCTACAGCACGTGAGATCAAGGAGTCCAGGGAGAAGGCGGAGAAAGAAGGTCACAAACCTGATGATGACGTTGACATGAACGAACCCCGGGACAAACCGGTGGTGACTGGAGAGGAGGCAGCGGAAACAACCGCCACGGAGGCCTCCGACCACAAGAAGGACGACCCTGTCCCGATTGCTACTCAAGCTCCTGACGCTCCTGCCATGCCCGCCCATCCTCCTGCGGATGCACTCCCTAGCCATGCCGAGGCGAGAAGCGCTCTGCTGGGTGTTCACGACACTGCAGGGCCAGTCGCCGCGCCCAGGGACCTGCATACCGGCCAGTTCGTATACGTCGACTGCACGCTCACAGTTCGAGGCGGAGCGTGCTCTGGTCGATGTAATGCATTTTCTCAGTGCAGCATTGAACCTATTGTCAAGGATCGGGTAGAGACATTCTTCATCAAGTTCCTCTATTGTGCTGGCGTTCTCGACTCATGACCCAAGACATGGCATATGGCGAGTCATAGCTGAATGCGTCGCTCACGATTTCTCTCGTGGAAATGATCCAGTCTCGTAACTCGTGCGGCGCAGGCTCTTTCTCGAGCTCTATGTTGGCGCACTTGTTCGCCTCAGATGGCAACGAAGTCAAGGGCGGCCGAGTGGCCTGCCCAAAAACATGGGGAGGTAGAACGCCGTCTCTGCCAATAGATATGGCACAAAGAGAGCAACTCCCAGACGATGGTGGGCAGCATGCGGAACACAAAGAAGTGCGGCATAATGAACAAGTTTGGAAGCATGGAGGTGTCCCGGGGACGCTGGACTTGACATTGATGTTGCAGCGAGGGCAGACTCTTTCTTCAGCAGAAGATCGGCGAAGGTCGGGAGCCCCAATACCGCCGATGCCACCGACGCCATGCACACCCTTACCGAGTCCTGGTGGAAGAGAGAAACCAGCTGGCCCGCCAGCCCCGTGATGAGGCTGTGGATTCTGCTGATTTGTCACAGCAGTGTCAGGCCCGTACCTTCCACGAATGATTCCCTGAGACGTTCCATGTTCGACCTGACCAGTGAAAATTCCCCCCGTCGGGGAACATCCGGGATATGTGCCGATGGTCCCCCTCGGCATCGGCCCGGCGGCTCCGGCGTGGGAACAGAAGCCGGAGTTCCCTTGTTGCGGTTCAGGACTCCGATGTGACCGGATCTCCACGTGATGGCCCGGATCCAGGATCAGGAGCAGTGCCATCCCGCTGATTATGGTCAGGAATGCAACCAGGTCCTCTTCCCATCGGGGTCAGCTCTCAGGCAGCCGAGGCAAATAGGTCGAACATTTGACCCAAAACGGCGCACATCGTCGGGTGAAGCGATGTGTTGATCGCAGTACTCATCCTTGCATATGAGACACGTCACAAGTCCGTGTCTCCCTCCTCTTCCTCTGCATGCGCGGCATCTAGGAAACTGATCGCTACATTTGAAACATGAGTTACAATCATGATCAAAGCAGTCTTCGCAGACTGACTTGCCGCAGCTTCGGCATGGATAGCGAGGTTCCCGATGCTGTGGATGCCCAGGCTCCTCATGAGCGCATCTGGCCCGGTTATCAGGGGCAGCACCGGCAGCCCGAGCAACGGCCCTCGTTCTAGAGGGATCCCTGCCAAAGATGGGGGCTGATGGTGACGGTGGGGGTGGCCCTGAAGGAGGAGGAGGTGGAGGAGGTCTCGCCGAGCTGACGATGCGAGCATCGCGAGGAGGAGAACCTCTAGGAGCCCTTCCCTGGGTTAAGGGATCCGTGTCTCCAGATTTCTCCCAGGGCCCCGTCCCGGCGACCGAAACAGCGCCAGCACTTGAAGATGCGCAGGCAGCAGGAGGTTGTTCCCTCAATTCAGCGATCTGCATGTTGATCTCATTGACCCTCAACACAAGTTTCATAAACTGCTCTTGCATGTCCCTCGGATAGGGGCCTAGGCTTTTATCATGAAGGTCCTTGACGCACCTAGCAATACGGGACAATTGAAGCTTGAACTCTTCCTGTTTCTGTGAGTTCTCGTTGAGGGCTCCGGACATCCTATCACTGAACTGCTTCAGGTCGGTCGCAGGAACAAGGTGCTGGATGTACGTCTCGACGTTCCCACGGATGGTTCTTTCCCTTGAGATGGTTCCCTCAATGTCAATGACACTGCGAGAGTTCGCCTCAACTTCGTCCTTGATTCTTCGAACTTCAGCCTCAAGGGCCCCGATCTCGGAGAATCTAAGGAGCTGGACCTTGACGTTCTCAAGTGACTCGGCCTGCTCGCGAAGTTCAGCAGCAGATATGATGATCGAGTTGGACCTCTCATCATACATCTTGAAGCGCTCATTCATCTCCTTCTCGCTTCGGGCGACCCACTCGTGGAAATCACGGAACTTGGCCTCGTGTCTTGAGAGCGTTCCGGCGACGGCAGGGAAAGATGATTCAACCTTCTTCTCGAAGGTGTCAACACGGTTATTGATCTTCTTGATTTCACCGACGCAAACGTTGATATCATCCCTGCATGAACGAATCTCAGTTCTGCACCCCTGGATTTCGGCCTTGCATCCCTTGACCTCGTTGTGAATCGCGAGAAGCAGTCGCTGAAGCTCAGAGGCAACCGGATGGCCGTCACTTGTGGATGCAGACGGGGCAGGACGACTATCAGCGTCATAAGCTCCGCGCCTATTCTCATTCCTGTCAGGCGTGCAGCCCGGAGTTCCGATTTGAAAGAATGTAGGGATGAGGGAGTTGTCGACCGGCTGATTTGATGGAAGCCCTCCATTTCAACGGTGCTAAGTCCAGGTCTCCGGTTCCTGGGCGTAGAGTTGATCCCGTCATCAGTCTCCTTCTCAGACATCGGAGCATTGGAGCTGAGCCCAGATCCCGCGGAGTGGATAGGAACGTCAACAGGGTCGTGATGAGCGGGGGGATTAGATCGCAATCGGAGGGCAGCTTCACGTCTTTCGGGTGACTCGGAGCTCCTCTTTGTGGCTCGCGAGTCAGTGCCGGTTTGTCCCGACATATTATCGAACGATGACGATCCGCGATGTTGAGCTTGATCTGGATCAGGTTGAGTGAGATCAAGCCGTTGAGCAACGTCATCATTGAATGGCTTAGGGGAAAGTACTTTGGCAACGCGGCTCGGCGGGAGCGACGTCGTTCGTCTCTTCGGTGTGACCTCGGCCTCATCGATTACATCAAGGATCCCAGGGATGGTTTCATCATCTTCATTTCCTCTCCTGGGTGGCTGATGGAAGGGGATGTCGAGAAGGTCGAAGGGAGTAGACCCAATACCAGGTGTATCCTGCTCGGATCCATCGCTGGTACGGTGGCTGGACTGCTCCTCGAGGTCGATGACGTCGGGGGCGGACTCTTTCCGAGTCCGACGCCGATTGAAGGCCGCGAAGAGACCGGCATGGCTTCTCGACGAAGTGGAGGAAGGATTTGGGCCTGCTGTTTCGCGGCCCGCGTCCGATCGATGAGTAGCTGATGCTTGATTTGGCGGATTTGAGCCCGCGTTGTAGCGGTTCGCGTCCCGATCTTGAGTACTTGAGGAGAGCGGTGGATTTGGACCAGCGTTGTAGCGGTCCGCATCCCGGTCGCGGGTACCTGACAAGTGAGATGATACTGAATCAGGGATGAAGTCCATATCCGCCGGACTGAGGCGATCGTGAACGATGTCAACATCAGATGAACCTGAGACAGGAGGAAGGCCAGCTATTTGCGGCCAATCCTCAATCGCCCGTTCGTCCGCCTCAGGTTGGGCCGAACCTGCAACTTGAGAAGGGGAGAAATCTTCAATGGGGTCATTTTCTCCATTATAAGGAAAACCCTGAGTAGGCTCATGCGTAGGCAGGGCGTCGAAAGATCTGTCAATTCGGGAAGGTTGAGATCTCCAATCAGCATCAAAAAGGGATTGAATATCCAGATTCCCAACCGAGATGGGGACACCCGAAAGTCGAGTCGACCGAAATCAGGCGGTGTGGCCTGCGATCCACTCCCGAGGAGCTGGTCAAACTGATTCCATGTAAGGGACCAAGATTGATCCGGCTCCGGATGAGCAGCAGGATGGGCAGCCTGGTCTTCGATCTGGAGCGCCACGAACGGAACAGTAGGCGAAATCGACGAGGGCACCTGATTTGGAGGAACCACAGCCTCTTCTAGAGGGGGTCCGTCCTCGATCTGGAGCACTGCCGCCGGGATAGGGGCCTCCGCATCCTCATCAAACACGACCTGAGAAAGGATCCAATCGTCCGTGATCACCCCAGGATTGGGCTCTGCGCCCACCATCGGGGGAATGGGCCACAGCCGGCTGTCTAAGCCGGGGGCAGCATGCGCGGCGTTGCCGCGAAGGGCGTTGGCCTCGTCGTCCACGAAGCCTGGCCCACGATGTGAAGCTCCAGGGGACGCCATTGTACGTACAAGTAGGCGAGGGAGCAGGTAGCGGGTCACGTCCCGCAACCGGATCACCAGCCCCAGCTTCTAGCTGGTGGGGCTGATAACCTGCGGTTTTGGGCGAACACGAAGTAGCCCAGGGAATCAAAGAGGTACACGTGGTTCACGAAGTACCAAAAGAACCCAGTCCCAAAGCACAATGTAGAAGGCGCCGGTGACCAGATTGTGGGAGTGACAGTTAATGAAGATCAAGTTTGGGGAGGTTGGGAAATAGGTTGAAGAAGGGAAGTTTGTGCCCAAGCCCAGGACGATCACGCAGAGATCCTCCGCCCACCTCCCAGTGCCTAACCACGGCGACGCCAGGAGCCTTTTCCCGACGGCGAAGCAGTCAGCCGCACTATGGCTGGCGCAACAAGAATCCGTGACCCCCCTGACGGGAGGGCAAAACTTGAGCCAAACGGCCATTCGGCCGCTTTTGCCACATGAAGAAACAATACGTGAACAAAACACAAAGAGAAACCAAAAAGGGAAACCATTTTGTAGCTTCCCCTATTTGGAGACCAGCCCATACTTGCTCTTCAAGGCTCGAAAGGCACTAAGCCACCCGGCACCGACTTCTGCAGCACACCCGTCACACCTAAGCACTTGGTTCCAGGCGTCTACCGTCTCGAATCACTCCACGTATCGGGGTCATGGTGATGGCTCCCCTAACCCACATGGCCAGTCCAAAATCCCTACAACTACTAGGGCTAGATGACCACCCCGACCAACCCAAGTAAACACACTGGACCATGGGCGCTGATTGCTGCATGTTGGGTCTTCGGCGAAGGGTCTGGTTGGTTTCAATGCAAGCTCTCTCTTCCAACTTGAGTTGTTGGCAACTGTGGGTATGTCCCTTTTCAGGCTTGTTGAGAAGGGAAACGCATCCATCTGCACCTTTTGCAATATTCTTCAAATCCTTGTCCACCATTGAGCGAGAGCAGCCGTTCGCTCTACGCTGAATTGTGGCGTGAGCTTTTTTTGACCAGTCGGCAATCCATGGTTCGTTGGACAACCCCTCCGGTCCATGCGTCGGTTGTTTGTTTCCTTCAGTTTGACTCCCAGCACATGTTCGCCGTTGGCGCAGAGAACTGCTACTGTCTTCTACACTGTTAGGCTTTTTGCTAAAGAAATTCCTGCTGGACAAAAACTACTTTGTCTGTTCTTCCTGGTGGCCGGTGTTTTTGTCCATATCTCATGATGTCACGGCCTGGTCAATAACGAGCTGTCATAAGCTACGAAATGATGTATTAATATGTGTTTGTCAGAACCTGAGCCGCATATTTATTCAGAACCTGAGCCTCGCGCAAGCTGTGTGTAGGGAGCCTCGGATCAGCATCTCAGCCCCGCTTTGGCGCGGGGGGCCCCGCTTTGGTTCCGAGAAAACGAAACCGGTGACCTGTAGCAGGAAAGGGGTCCGATCAGAGAAACCTCGAATCAGGTCAACTCGCAAGAGGTGCCTTTAGATACTTTTTGCGAAAGAAGGACCCCGACTAAAGCCAGCCCCACTTCAAAGTGGGAACGATGATGTACACTCGGACCGACCGCTTTTTGGCGGGGGGGGCCACCCTGCCTGCCCTCAGGTCCCATCTCCCTTTGCCGAGCCTCCAACATCAGCAGGCTCGAAAAGGAACCCATCAGATTCTTCAAACCGGATAAACGTCACCACCAATGGTCACGGTCCCCTTGCAACCTGAACAAATCAAGAAACCTCGGCCTGCTGAAGGGGTCCCGAGTTCAGCGACCTGCAGTTCAAAAGGTCCTGGCCCGGAATACCGGGCACACAGCTGGTCTTCCCTGTAAGCTCTGCCGAGGCGCAGTTGCAGACTCGGCACGCCACCAAGCCCGGACGGCCTAGCTGGAAACGGTCTTTCGGCCCCAGGCGAGGCCTTCCAAATGGAGGGTGAAAAACGAGCAACCCAACAAAACAACCTACATGCAGCCAGCATCCGCTCGAGCGTCTGGTGTCTCCCACGCGTATGGCAACAAAACGGTACCAAGAACTTCCACTTGCTGCATCTGGACAGCAGGATTCTGCATTTGTGAAAACGATTCACCAATCCGCCTCCCTCCAATTGGTGGTTTGGAGCCCAGTGGTTTGGTGGTTCAGGAGGGGTAAACCCCATTGACCCCCTACAAGAACCAAGGGTTCAAATCCAAATCCAAACCACCGATTCGGCTCCAAGCCACATATTGGGGGTACCTGAACTAACAAACCAGCAGAATAGGTCTCAAATTCTCTGTTTTTGACCCCCTGAATAAAATCTATTTGATCCCCTAAATATCCGCCGACCCCTGCTCCTGAAAGGGGGAGGCGCACGGGAAGGGTGCTGCGGATGCGTTGCCACGAGGATAGTTGTCATCACCATTGGAGATGCAGAGGATGCTACGATGATAGTTATCATCATCATCATCATCATCACCTTCTGCAATCTTTTTCATATCATTATCATCATCATCATCATCAGCACCACCATCATCATCATCATCGCATGCACGATGATGGTTATCAATGATGGGCGACGGCTATGATGACGATTCAAAAGTGCCGTTAGAGCCGATTGGAGATGCAGAGGATGCGCAGTCATCATTATCATCATGATTGTTAGTGATGCAGAGGATGCATACTGATGGTTATCATCGATGACGATAACCGTGATGATGACGATGATGGGCCACGGCTATGATGAGGATCCTTATCTTTTTCATATACGATTCAAAAGTCCCGTTAGAGCCGATTGGAGATGCAGAGGGTGCGTAGTCATCATTATCATCATGACTGTTGGCGATGCAGAGGATGCACGATGATGGTTATCATCGATGATGATAACGGTGATGATGACGATGATGGGCGACGGCTATGATGACGATCCTTTAATCATCATTATCATCATGACTGTTGGTGATGCAGAGGATGCACGATGATGGTTATCATCGACGATGACAACGGTGATGATGAGATTGGAGATGCAGAGGGGGGCGCGTAGTCATCATTATCATCATCACTGTTGGTGATGCAGAGGATGCACGATGATGGTTATCATCGATGATGATAACGGTGATGATGACGATGATGGGCGACGGCTACGATGACGATCCTTATCTTTTTCATATACGATTCAAAAGTGCCGATTGGAGATGCAGAGGACGCGTAGTCATCGTTATCATCATGACTGTTGGTGATGCAGAGGATGCACGATGATGGTTATCATCCATGAGGATGCACGATGATGGTTATCATCGATGATCATAACGGTGATGATGAGATTGGAGATGCAGAGGGTGCGTAGTCATCGTTATCATCATGATAGTTCGTGATGCAGAGGATGCACGATGATGGTTATCATCGATGAGGATGCACGATGATGGTTAACGGTGATGCTGACGATGATGGGCGACGGCTATGATGACGATCCTTCTCTTTTTCATATCCTTATCATCATCATCGTCATCATCAGCACGATCATCATCATCATCATGCGTGGACATGATTATCATGAGGACTGCTGGTGATGCTGATACGTAGTCGTCACCATGTCTTTGTGTAGTATATATTTCAAGTGCGGCGTTAGGGCCCATTGGTGATGCAAAAGATGCGTGGACATGATTATCATGAGGACAGCTGGCGATGCTGCTTAGTATCACTATCATCATCATCAACGTAGTTGTCATCATCTCTTTCTAGACCCCATTCGTGCTGATTAGTCATCAATATCATCATCATCAACGTAGTCGTCATCATCTCTTTCTACATATCTATAGTATACATTTCAAGTGTGGCATTAGAGCCCATTGGTGATGCAAAAGATCCGTGGACATGATTAGCATGATGACTGCTGGAGATGCAAAAGATGCGTGGACATGATTATCGTGAGGACTGCTGGTGATGCTTCTGTTTCAGTTGTTACATCTTCCCAGTGCATCTGAGGTCCATCGTGCTGTCTCACAACGGTAAAAACATACCAATAACATGTCATATAATGACTCGTGACAAACTCTCGGTTTGGGGAAAGATGTCAAGAGTCGTTCACCTAATATTTATGTATGCATATATGTATGTATGTATGTATGTCTGTATGTATGTATGTATGTATGTATGTACGTGTGTATGTATGTGTCTTTGTTTGTTTGTTTGTTTGTTTGTGTATTTGTTAGTTTGTTTGTTTGTGTCTCTCTCTCTCTGTCTCTATGTATGTCCCGCGTGGCCCTGCACGTATACTCCAACAACACAAAAATACAACATGGAACGCCAGAGCGCTTCCAACATTCTACAACACCCACGCTTCAACTGCCACCGGCAAACTCTGGCGAGCGCGCTTGCGCCTACGCTCCAATGTTTTGCAGCACCGCAGTTTGCCGACAGGTTGCTTTATGGGCAAACAACGGGGCGCCACGCTTCCTCTTTGGACCGTGCAAAGCGAGGCAAAGCTCTGAACCTGTGCCGCGCAGCCTGCAAGCGGTATCTTCGCACATCGCCCTGCGTGTGTTGTGCCTACAGAGCGCAGAACTAGTAGCGCCTCAACGCGCACAAGACTCTAAGCGTCAATGCATCACCGTCGAACCGCCTGACCCTTCCAAACCCGCTGACGCAGCCCGTTACACAAATCCCATTCCTGGTCACGCCAGCTGATCTGGCGCCAAAGCTCGATCAAAAAGGAATAAGCCCGCCAAGACAGTTAGGCAACGCGAAACTTCAAAAGCCTCCGAGTCGAACATGTATATGTTCGCGCATAGTCCCGTGCATGGACACGCCCGCGAAAGTGTGCAGAATGAAACACCACCCGCAGCCTGCCAAGACTCTGACGCGCCCAAAGATCCCCGGCAGATAAGCGAGCACCAGACCTCCAACGAAAAGGCAACCAACGAAAAAAAGCTGCACGCCCCAAAACTTCCAAGACTCCAAAAATTGGTTGCCTCACCATTAGTAACAAAACACCTAACTGGCAGTTGTCGCTTCCGCGGCCGATGAAGCGCTATACCAAAGCATCGCCGAAAGCACTACGACCCACAGCCAAGCAAACGCAGGGCAAACATATATGCGTTGACACACGCGCGCGCACTATATTTTTGCGCGGCCCTACGTGTAAATTCCAACTACACAAGAATACAACATGGAACGCCACAACGCTTCCAAGACCTCACAGCACCGACACTTCCACCGCCACCAGCAAACTCTGGCACGCACGCTGGCGCAAGCTCACGGGCGGCTACGATCCCGTGTTCTGCAGCACCACAGTTTGCCGACAGGTTGCTTTATGGGCAAACAACGGTCCTGGAGGCATATATGTGCACGCATCTGCGCATGACCCAATGTATTACCGCGCCCGCACAAATGCGCAGAAAGCAAAAACCCAAAGCCATCCAAGACTCTGGGGCGCCAACGCTTCCTCGTTGGACCGTGCAAAGCGATGCAAAGCTCTGAACCTGTGCCGCGCAACCACTTGCAGGCACATCGCCCTGCGTGTGTTTTGCCCACACAAGAGCGCAGAACTAGTAGCGCGCCGACGCGCACAAGACCCTAAGCGTCAATGCGTCACCGTCGAGCCGCCTGACCCTTCCAAACCCGCTGACGCAACCCGTGACACAACTCCGATTCCAGGTCACGCGACCTAAGCGTTCGCCAAGGAAAATAGGACGCCCACGACCTGAGTTGATGATGAATCCACCTCGGGCCGAAGAGACTCTTTCTCCTTCGACACGGCGGTGATCGACGTGGGGACCCGGCGACGCTCATCCGAGGCCGCGACGGGTCCGTAAGACTTGAACCAAACATCACTGTGTGCATGTGTGTATGTATGTAATGTATATATGTCTGTAATGTAATGTAATCTAATGTAATGTAATGTAATGCAATGTAATGCAATGTATGTATGTATGTATGCATTCATGTAATGTATGTATTGTATGCAATGTATATAATGCAGCTTAATGTAATGTAATGTTAGTAATGTACGTTATGTAATGTAATACAAGGTAAGGTAAAGCAAGGTAATGTGTGTAGTGTCATGCATGTATATGTTTGTATATAAGTCAAGTAAAGTAACGTTACGTAATATAATGTATGTATGTAGGTACGTATGTATGCGTTGTATGTGCGTTATTCTCTGTTGCGCTTTGTTATGATTTGCGTGTATGTATCGGCCTGACAAAAAAAAACGAGCATTCCCCCCACCAACAACAACTGTTTTTTTACACCATGTCCAAATCCCAAGTACTCTGTCCAAAACGCAGTGGTTGGGACCCGGGTGCTGGTAGAGTCGCGAGCATTGCTCGTTGCCGATAGCCAGGTTTCTCAGCCAAGCAAAAGCGACGGCTCGACAGAAGGCAGCCCCCCACAAAAAGGTGATCATCCCCCCATCAATGTGTTGCAATCCAAGGTTTTGTCTTTCCATGTTAATCCTGGGTTCCCTATTTTGTCATTTTCTCTTTTGCAGGAAGTGGACCTCGAACTTCATAACGATTCGACAAATCAGTCCATTCTTGCGCCAGATGGTCGCGGTTTTCCTTGTTGTGGTGTCCTGCTACGGAATCCTCGGCTTGAATCGAGCGCAACTCTCAGCTTCTGCTCGGAAGCTTTCTTGGAGGGCACCCCTGTTTTGGACACATTGTCTCAAGGGTTTTTTCAGGTACGGGTTTTAGAGGCATGGAGGTGAGATTTACCACTTATATAAGGGGTAGATACTGCCTAACAAGCTTGTAGTGGTGGTATGTCTGCGCATCCCTACCTCCAAAACCCATACCTGAAAAGGCCCTCTTTTGGACACATTGTGGGATAAGCGTTGGAGCTGCACTGGCCGTTGAAGGCTTCTACCCGGTTCTTGGATGCCGGGAAAAAACGTTCAGCCGCTTGTACT